TAAGTCGGTTTACTCGATAAGTCGGTCATATGAGCTCACCCCCACATGACCGACTTATCGAGTTTACATATGTATATGGATTTTAAAAAACATCCAGTAAATCAAATGTATATTAATATTATTAACTAGTACTAGTGCTAGTCGCATGGCATTTCCCGCAGGTAGTAAGGTAGTAAGTATAAAATTGGATGATCTGCATCATAGTAAAATTTTATATGCAAAATTTTGTTTGACGCGTCCAATTGCAAGTATAAGTGAAATGTAAATAAATTATATTGTTATGAATATTTATACAATTTAAAATTTGCTTTACATTTACGATTAAATAATTAGATAATACGAGCAAGCAACAATAATATACAAATTGTCAAAAATGAGAAGAGAAATGTAAAGAGACATTTAATATTATTATTGCACCAACGAATTGTGATTTAAAAATCAATATTAAAAAACATTACCACATATTAACTATAAACAAGTTTTGAATATTATGTGCAATAGAATTCAGACTTCTTTTGAATATAAGATCACTCAATTCGATCAAGTACTTAATGAGATACAAAAATATATGGTAATAGGTAAAGAACTATTGCGTTTTTTTGAATTTTAAATACTTATATGGCATTTTCAAATATGAATCATAATCAAACCCACCTATCGTACAACTAGATAAAAAATATTTTACAAAATTTGCTTTCCAAGCTTTGTAGATCTCATCTAGTGTTGGTTAATTAGTTTTGGAGAGATTTACAAAAAAAGAGTTTTATAAACCCAAGTATATTGAAGATAGTAATGATAATATATTTTTTTCGATATTTACTTTTATATCTATTTTTATATTATTATTAATTAATATTTTTATATAAATTTAGGAATGTAATGATTAAATCAAAAGACATTTACATGATTTCTTTTTCCAAAGGTTAATGGTTAAACGAAATCAGAAAGAATTGTTACGCGACCATATTTTATTTACGATTAATCATGATATATTCCTAATTATTAATCACCTTTTTTTAGATCTGGTAGTGTACGATCAGAGAGAATTGTTATTTTATTTGTTATTAATTATTTATTTTTAGAAAATAGGTAGAAAATTCAACATCAAAAATTCTAGTTGATATATTCCTGTAATAATTAATTATACTATTAATTATTAATTACTTTTTTTAGATCTGGTAGTGTGCGATTAGAAAGAATCGTTATACGACAATCAAATTAGTTATTATATTATATATATTATTATTATTATTATCATTGTTTTAAATCATTAATTTGATTTTTCTATATATTTTAGAAAGAGAACATGCAGTAGATTTCTATTTATTTATACTTTCAAATTTTTAAAAAATTTCTAGCCTAGTCATAGTACTGTACATTACTTTCAAGTCAACTACAAATTCTATTCAGAAATATTGAGAACTTCAAACAGGACATGGACTGGTGGTTGAATCAAAGCTGTCAGATCACAAGGGTGATGTAGCACGTAAAAATCTCCGTGTTGCTGTATGTACATTACTAATCCATAATCTTTCAAAAATTCACCATTTTATCATGTTAGTAACGTTTGAAGTTTGGAACCGCAACTGAACCGCAATTCAATTTTCATATCCTGAAATTAGTTGCAACTAGTCGCAATTAATTGAGGAACCATCTTGTATCAGGTAGGTCCTATGTAATCACTGGCAGAAATAAACTTTTTTGCTATATTATAATCATGTGATCCTGTAAAAAATGACACTCCAGAATATTTCCATTATATCTCCGTGATCATCACTCCGTAAATGTTCAGTTTATTTCATAAAAGCAGCACAATTAATTAAGCAATCCGGATTTTTCCATGATGTCATTTATATTAACTTGTAAATATGGAATTAAAACGGAATCTGAGAATAAGATTTTATAGTTCTGGAATATTATTGAGTGATTAATAAAGTCGCAAATAAAAACAGACCTTTTTATTATCAAGTAACTGATAAACTCGCAAATAAAAATGGGCATTTTTTTTTCTTACAAAACATTTTATTTGTTAAATATAACTTGATTAAAACATACTAATACACTAGTATGGAATACACACGGAAAATATTATTATTTTAATATATAATTAATTAATTAGTCGCATGACATTTACCGCATGTTGTGAATATGAAATAATAAAATTGGATGATCTGCATCATAGTAAAATTTTTTGACGCGTCCAAATGTAAGTATAAATGCAAATAATTATATCGTTTATGAATATTTATAATATTTATAGAGTTTAAAATTTCTTTTACGTTCTAAAATAATTAGATAATATGAGCAAGCAACATTAATATAACAATTGTCAAAAAAGGAGAAGAGAAATGTAAGATATTTAATAATAATAACATTATTATTAAAATGCGTCAACAAATTGTGATTTAAAATCAATATTAAATAACATTACTAAATATCAACTATAAATAAGTTTTGAATATTATGTGCAATAGAATTCAGGCTTTCTTTTGAATCTAAGATCACCCAATTCGATCAAGTATTTACCAAGATGCAAAAATATATGGTAATAGGTAAAGAGCGTTTTTTTTTGGATTTTAAATACTTATATGGCATTTTCAAATAATCAAACTCGTTTACCATACAACTAGATAAAGTATTCATCAAGTATATTTTACAAAACTTGCTTTCCAAGCTTTGTAGATCTCATCTGGTGTTGAATAAGTTTTAGAGAGATTCATAAAAAAAAAATAGTTTATGAACCCAAATAATGGTAACATGTTTTTTTTAAATATTACTTGTACCTATTTTTATATTAATATTGTATATATATATTTAGGAATGTAATAATTAGATTAAAAGGTATTTATTTTTCCAAAGGTTAATGGTTGAACGAAATCATATTTTATTTATTATTAATTATGATATATTCTTGTAAGATCTGGAGGTGTACAATCAGAAGAATTGTTACGCGGCCATATTTTATTATTTTTAGAAAACAGATAGAAAATTCAACATCAAAAATTCTAGTTGATATATTCTTGTAATAACAATTATACTATCAATTATTAATCACTTTTTTAGATCTGGTGGTGTACGATCAGAAAGAATTGTTTTCACATATAATATAATAATAACAACTAATTAGTAGTATACTTGTTATTACAAGAATATATCAACTAGAATTTTTGATGCTGAATTTTCTACCTATTTTCTAAAAATAAATTAATAATAGATAAAATATGGTCACACTAATATTATTCTTTTCATTGTTTTATAAGGGGAACATGCAAACCAGCCTGCAGTAAGATTTCTATTTATTTATGCTTTTAATTTTAAAAAATTTTTCTAGTCTAGTCTTAATACTTACATTATTTTCAAATCAATTACAATTCTTCAAACAGAACATGGACTGGTGTTAACTCAAAGCTGTCAAATCACAAGGGTGATGTACCACATACAAATTTTCGTGTTGTTGCATGTACATTACTAATCCATAATCTTTCCATTTTATCATGTTAGTAACAATTAAAGATGGGAACCACAATTAGTTGCAACCACATTTTCATATGCCACAACTGCAACCACAATTCAATTTTCATGTGCTGCAACTAGTCTCAATTAATTGAGGAGCCATCTTTAGTAGACCACTTGAAAATTTATTTATTAATTTATTCAAGAATTTATCCATTTTATTAATTGATTTATTCAAGAATTTATCCATTTTATTAATTAATTTATTCAGTAAATTCTCAGTCATTTATCCGAGTTTTATTCATTTTATTAATTAATTTATTCAGTAAAACTCCATTTTTAATGAAAAAACAGAACTATAGATTCCATGAATATGATACATTTATGGAAAAAACACGGAAATGTATATTTATTAATATAAACGGAAAAAACACTGAAAGTTTTACAGGATGGTGGTGATGTTGTTTCACTTACGATTGTTGAAATTGTTTCCTTCTCTTTATTTTTCTTTTCCGGACTTGCTTATTCACTATTTGATGTAGCTTTAACTACTAATATTTCAGAATCTGAGTCCTGGTCCCACCCTGTACTATAAGGTTCAATAATCTCTTGATCTGCTATATTATTGTTGCTGTATTCTGATAAATCTTAACTTGGGTTGTTGTCTTCTGGTTGATTTGAAATTGTAGAATTTGAATCTGTGTCCCCTTCTTCGTATTCTCTCCTGATTATCTTCTGTGTATTCTTCTTGATTGTTTTCTGTCTGGACTTCTGGATTTATTTACTATTTCCCCCTCCAGAAATGTAATTACTATAGCTGGCTTCGTTATAATTGATGGTAGAAAAGTCTATTTCCAGCTGTTCACTTTTGTCCTCGTCTAAAGTTATTGAATCTGTTTTATTACTTGATTTGCAGTTTCTTCTTCTGACGTCAGTTTCCAAATGGGTAAATTGAATAATCTCAGAGTCTTCACAAGTACTCCTAACGTAAAGGTCCACGGGAACCACCCCGGTTTTTCGGCTTTGATAATATCTCAGCCTCCCTTTTTACACGTTAGGTTTATCTCTTACCACATAATAATCTTTCGGCGTAGTTTATACTATGGCGGAACTACCAGCTTTCATCCGCAGCTCGGTGTAAAGATCATACACCAAGGTCGCCATGTCTCTCACCCTGTTCATAGCATAAATTACACTACTCTTCTTTTCAAGCTTCCACTCCGAGAGCAGGTTTACGTTTTAACTCTCGCCAGCCTTCTGGTCTGCTACCATGTAGCAACCCCTAAGCCTATATGAGACTCGATCGGATCGGATAATAAATCCTCCATTACGATGTCCTTTTACATGAATATTGGAACCAGGCTCCCTTACCTAGGGTACACTTGGCCCACATTTATACCGGGGCCTGCAGGACCTGTTGCCCGTAGGATTATACCAATATCCACATCGGAACGTTCTTTCAGATTTACTTCTCCTCACTCCTCTAATCCCCTTAATGCGAAGGGTCTTGGTATGCACTTAACCTTTGACGCAGAAGTTTCCACTTGAAAAGGCCGTAGATTAACAGAGGTGAAGCGGATAATTCTCCATTCACAATTACATTAGCTCCCAAGCTTTTCAACCTTACCGTCCACACGTACGGCAAACTTTTAAAGCTCTCAGCATCACGTTTGGGTCGCGAACCCTCATTAAGAAACCGCGTGTTTCGCATGATGTTTACAAGGCGGGTTTTTCCCTTAGGAATCACCATTGATCTCTAAGAAATAGCACATTAATATCACGCAAGTCGGAGATCATTCTCTCTAACAAGTCGTTGGTTTTCTCCACAACATAGGAGGAAGTTAGCGTAACAGTTTTGTCTTTTACCCCTAGGCAACTCGTCTTTATAGTATTGCGCTTTCAAACGCATAATAGTTTCGGCCCTCAAACGCCAATAACATTGGTTCACTAAAAGTGGGTCATATTCCCCTGCAGGAAGAATACTTAGCAACTTCTAGCTTAGCATCAGTCTAGCATGATCGGTATATCCCACTACCATACATGATCGGCAATCCCACTATAAAAACGGCGAGGATCTCCCATTACCACTTTCGTGGGGCTAGCTCCACACCTCCCAGGGCTAGGCCAGGTTGTACCAGGATAAGGTGATCACACCCTAAACATTACACAAAACTGTTTGGGTCCAAAATCCTACATTGCTTTGATTAGCTTTCGTTGTGATATTAAATCAACTTCATCTGTACCAGATTCTACGCAACCCAATACCACATTGGGATTAAGCAACGAATCCGGCCCTGGAATCCATTGTCCATTCCAAACAGTTCGCAAGTGTTCTTTTTAGGAACTCCGAAACCTTGTGGATTACTAAAGGTGAATTTTTGTTAGTGAACTAACTAACTACCCTTTCAGGCGTCTGTTGACTATATCTTAAGCGGTCAGTAAATCCATGTCACCATGGACATCCTTTCAGAGCTCAAACTCAAAGTAAGAGTTACAGGATGCTGCCCACCCACTACCGTTTAGTCTGTGAACTGCACCGTCGGGCACTCTAAGAGTCTCACCCAGGCGGCTTGGCTGCCGATTTTCCATTCTGTCTTTTAACAGAGACATATTATTTAGACCTTCCCTCTCGTCAAGACGCTGCATGATAGGATCCTACTCTATCATTAATCTTAGCCACGCAAAGCGGAAGCAAGGATTGATACATTCTTAAAACCAGAGAGTGTTTCTGATCTACTAATGATACCAACACACTCCTGAAGGCATCAATTTCGATTCAAGCCTAAACACCTTCACATAATATGTCCATAAGCTAATAGGATGACGTACCACCCGAAATGAATACGCCTCTGCTCCCCGCAGCTCCTATGTCGCCTTAAATCCCTTGGGTTATTACCATCCACTGGCATTTCTACCAGCTGCTGCAGAGTGGCTTTCGCCCCTCCCGCGGTACCTTGGGCTTTAGGAACTTCCGGCAATTTGATAGTGTCGCAACTCAACGAGTGTGCATAACTTTCCATTTCGCAATTGAGGAGGTATGAAACTCCGGCTGCGTTCTCTTAACGCCGCATGCGGGCAATATGTTATGCATTCATAAGAGTCACTTACTCTTAGTTGGATTTTAGGTAGGTCCACTGGTGGTCATTTAGTGCCTGCCCACCTGACAGGTCTTTATCGCGTCAATTATGTTACCATAAAAGCAGCTCCCACCATTTCAGTGTACCTACAACCTTATTAATTTTCACTAATAAGGAAATTTTCCCAAGAGTACAATCCACAATCCTAGTTTCTTACACTAGGACATGTAAATAATGTATGGTCCCATATTTGGAACTGCGCCTCCTCTCGATACTCCCCTGGATACTCCGTGATGGCTTAATTACTTCTTTACTTCTGCCCTATAATTAGGTTAGTGACCACAATGCTCAATTCCAAGTGGTGTGAAGACTATCTTGAAGATTGTTGTCGTCAAAATGTGTGATCAAAATCCGCGTCTTACACAAATTTCTAGACTTAGTTAGAATAATGTTTATTCCGTTGTATGGCAGTATCCAAATGTCTTCTTAATAATTAATATCCACTGGCTTTTTCTTCTTTTTATATGACAGTAATAGCGTTTAAGCTATTAATACATAGTAGGGCAGTTTTATCTCCCGTCCGATAATGTTTTCTCGGCAGTTTTTTGTTGTCTGCCTAAGCTGGCACTAAAGCTCCGAACGGTTCGGTTTGGCTAGACCTTCATATTTATATTATGAAAAGTTCACTCTCTCTACAATGAATTTTCCGTTATAGAAGACGTTTGTTATACGGGCAGAGCTTGTTAAACCGAAGTCAACGTTTTTACAAAAAAAATCTTCAGTTTTAAAAAACCTTAATAAAATCGGCTTATAGAGGAGAGATAATTTTTAATAGGTAGATAATAAAAAAACATTGGTTTATCATGTGTATTTATTTTATCAAAGAATCGTCTTGTTGAGTTCTGAATGTAAAGAGAAGAATTAATTATAAAAAAAGAATCAGGGAAGTCCATTATTGTTATAGAAAAATTTTACATTATAGAGAAATAGTGTATATAAATTCCTTTTTATTAAAAAAAAAAATATTTGTGTGCGTCTGAAATTTTTTTTTTTGTTATTTATTTATAATAAAAAATTTATACTAAATGGACTTAAATATTCAAATTATATATACAACAAGGTTTAAATATTGATTTTATTATTATAAAAATTGAAATTAAAAATGAAACTAATAAGGAATGACTGAAACAAGCAAGATTCATGTTTTTTTTAATACATAGCAATCTTTCCAGTGAGCTTGAATTTAAACCGGACCTTAATTACTTGTTTTATCCAGATTAATGTTTTTCGAATTATTTAAGTTAATTTCCTTATTCGGATCAATTTTAATCTTTTTACTCGAATTTATTCGAATCAATTTTTTATTTTTTATACAAATAAACGCCCTACCGTGAGCTAATTATTTTATTGGTGTGTTTTAATTAGTGTAATATTTAAATAAATTAGACCAGTTTATTTCTTGTTGAGTTATTATTCCGTGATAATCGCTTCCGTTTTTTTTTTTTTTTTTTTTTGTGCTAAAGTGAGGCCTTGAAACCACGTTTATTTTAACGCATTATTAAATATTTAGAAAAATTTTTTTACACGTAATCCTACCCCAATTAACCTAGTGTTAATTTAAAGCTAGCCCTACACAAAGTTTAGATACTTAAAATGCACTTAAAATATACTTAAAATATACCGAGGGAAGAGAACAAGAACATTTTAAGTGAGTTTAAGTATGTTTTAAGTATATGAAATTATACTCAACACTCACTTAAAATATACTTAAAACATACTTTTGATGGTAAACTAGCATACTTGAAATACACTTAAAATACACTTAAAAGGTTACTTAAAACACACTTAATTTTGTTCATTATTAAAAAAGCTATGTTTTAAGCACATTTTAAGCACCTTAAAGTAGATTTTAAGCACCTAAACTTTTTGTAGGGTAGCCTACCACCTTTACTTAAAATAATTAAAAAGACATATTTAAATAAATCTATCTAAATAATTAAAAAAAAAAGTTAACATGCTAAAGGCAAAATTTTCCCACTTAGCACCAAAAAGTATAAAATTCTGACACCACTCTTCCCATTTATCAGAATGTATAGCATTCTGAGAATTGGATGAAGTAGCTTGAGAATTTTTTGTTTTGTAATTTTTTTATTTTTATCTGATATCCCAATTGAGTGTTCCCATTCAATAAACTCCTCACACCTAGGCTTCCAAATTTTTTCAAAGAAAAGTTCCTGGATTATACTTAACAATTCCAGAGCTGTTTTCCTCCCTTTGGATTTTGATTGTTTGATCCATGTAAAACTATGTATTATATTTTTTGAAATTAAGCCTCTTGTGAAATTTTTCATAAAGGGTATACAAGATGTGGGATTGTTGAAATAAGGATCTATTCCACAAATTATTGTTTGTATATCTATGTAATCATTGTTACTACTATTTTTATTATTGTGGTTATGGTTATTATCCACTAGTGACTGAATGAATTCAGATGTTTTTTTACTGATTGTTTTAACCGCATCTTTTGAATTCTCACAATACCATAAATGATCATAGTCTTCAGGAGCTAAATTACACCTAGGACAATTTGTAAATTGCCCATATAAATCAGGTCTACGTTTTTTTAAAATTTCTAGTACTGGTAGTTCATTATGTAACAGTTTGATTATGAAGGCTTTCCTTCTACTGTCTTTGAAAATCATTTCTGATTTATAAGTTAGTTTCCCGTGATTTATCATTTACTATTTTACATTACTCGTTGTGAATTACTACTACCACTACTGCTGCTGCTACCATGATTTTTAATTTTAGAAAATTTGAATAATCTTTTTATTAAACTATTATTATTACTATTATTATTACTATTACCATTATTACTATTATTATTACTACTACTGATACTATTTCCAACACTATTATCATCATCATCATCATCATCATCATCATCATCATCATCATCATCATCATCATCATCATCATCATCATCATCATCAT